GTGAGTCATCACTGTGGAATCAGAGGCGGAGCCGGGTTTGCTAAACGTCCTCCTAACCGCTGCCTAAACGCCCGTCCCCCCCTTTCTGTTTTTTAATTCAAAACAAATTTTTTTTTTAACTTGGGATGCCAATTATAAAAGTTTCTAGTTGGACCAGGTCTGCAGTCCCGTAAATCTGGCGTCTGCTCTGCCCCCTAGTGGTGGCCCTACGCCGGCCTAACCGGAAAACGAAGTGTTTAAGGTGTTTCCGGAAACAGAAGTCGACGACGCAGCGTCATTTACATACCCACAACACACTGCGCCTAGAACCTTCCCTACGTTAAAGTGGATGGATTATGCCGTTTCTTTCTACCTTTTTCTCCCTACTAAAAGTGACGTTGTTTTATACGACTGTGAAAGAGGAAAGCAGAATCACCAGTCTTTTAGGTAAATAGTTACCACTGCTGACCTAGGAGTTATCGTTACCCGAGGACTGTGTGGCAAAGTGGTTGGCATACTCTGGTTTCTCTTCAGATCGTATAAATCTTTCGCCTTTTACTAAAGATTTCCGTGGAGAGGAACAATTCTGAGTCTTAACCCAATTTTTTGAGGCCTTGCACTAGCAAGGCTAATAACGGTTGTATAAAGAAAGACAGTAACTGAGTAGCTTATAATATCATCACAATAGTTTTCTTGTGAGATGTTTCCTTCACTGTGTAGGTAGTTTGGGGAACGTGTGCGGTAGCTGAAAGGACGCGCACCAGCTCTCATGGTTGCAAGGTAGCATTCATTCACCTCGCTTCTATTTTCAGTTTTTTGGGGGAACTCCGTAGTGATTTTTTTCTCCCCTTATCTTTGATCTTTTATAACAATAGCCAAGAATGAGTTGGTAATTAGAATGAGATGATCTGTCACTGTACCTCAAAAAGACTTATTTTTGAATTCCATTTCCCCACCAACTTTCTGAGTAGGGCAATTGAGGACATTTTAGTGTCGTGTGTTATTTTAGGTATTAATGAATTAATAGTTACATTAATTTTTAAAAATTTTATTTCTTATTTTTTGACAGGCAGAGTGGACAGTGAGAGAGACAGAGAGAAAGGTCTTCCTTTGCCGTTGGTTCACCCTCCAATGGCCACCATGGCCAGTGCGCTGCGGCCGGCACACTGCGCTGAACCGAAGGCAGGAGCCAGGTGCTTCTCCTGGTCTCCCATGGGGTGCAGGGCCCAAGCACCTGGGCCATCCTCCACTGCACTCCCTGGCCACAGCAGAGAGTTGGCCTGGAAGGGGGGCAACCGGGACAGAATCCAGCGCCCCGACTGGGACTAGAACCCTGTGTGCCGGCACCGCAGGCGGAGGATTAGCCTAGTGAGCCGCGGCGCCGGCTTAATTACGTTAATTTTATTGTTCCTGCTGTAACAAATGACCAGAAACTGCATGGCTTAACACAAATCTATTCTCCCAAATTCCGGTGGTCAGAAGTCTAAATTAAGGTGTTGGCAGGACTGTGTTCCTTCAGAGCAGAATGCTTCCTGCCTTTCTCAGCTTCTAGTAGCTACCTGCTTTCCTTGGCTTGTGACCTCTTCACCCATCATCCTGACACCTTGTGTCTGTTAGGTCACCCAGGACTAACTCTGGGTTCTCCTGCTCTCCTAAGGGCTGTGTGACTGCCTTGTTCCCACCTAAATCATATCAGCAACATTATGCTATGTCGGGCAACCTATTCACAGGTTCCAGGGGTTGGGATGATGTATTTGGAGGTCATTAACTCAAACCACCACAAGAATATTGTAATGGGCGTTGTGGTGCAGCAGGTTAAGCTGCTCTTGGGATACCCACATCCCACGTCGGAGTGCCAGTCCAAGTCCTCGACTCCTTCACTTCTGACCCAGCCTCCTGCTAATGCTTTTGGGAAGACAGCAGGTGGCCCAAGTACCTGAGCTCCTGCTACTCACCTGGGAAACCAGGATGGATTTCCAGCTCCTGGCTTAGCCTGTCCAGCCTCGACTGTTGCAGCCATTTTGGGGAGTGAACCAGTGGATGGAAGACCTTTCTCTTCTTCTCTCTCTGATGCTGTTTGCCTTTCAAATAAATAAATAAACCTATCTTTGAAAAAGAATGATGTAATTATGTAGAATATCCTTGTTCCTTGTCAAAACACAGTGAAGTATTTGGTCTGTGATATCTATGATAACTTCCAAATAGCTTAGCAAACACACAGAGAAAGAAGGCAAATGGGTTAAAGGGTATATTCTGGTATAAGTATTTACTGTATTATTTCAACTGTTTAAAAAGTTATTTCATATATTTGAAAGCGTTACAGAGAGAGGGAGAGATACAGAGATCTTCCATCCACTGGTTCACTCTCCAAATGGTCGCAATGGCTGGGCTGGACCAGGTTGAACCAGGTGCCAGGAGTTTCATCCTGGTCTCCCACGTGGGTGCAGGGGCCCAAGCACTCTTTTCTGTTTCTTTCCCAGGCCATTAGCAGGGAGCTGGATCAGAAGTGGAGCATCTGGGGCTCAAACTCGCGCCCATATGAGATGCCAGTGTTGCAGGCAGCAGCTTAACCTGCTACACCACAACACTGTCCCTATTTCAACTATTTGTAGCTTTGCATTTTTCAAAATAAAAATCAGAGGAAATATTAATAAATTCAACTTACTGAACATATTTTAGATATTTGTATTATGATTTACAGTTCCATTGTTATTAAACTGTGATTATTTTAGACCTGTGGTTCCCAGATTTTTTGATTTTCTAAAGAGATTTACAAAAAAATTATTTTTTTCCATCATTATACAAAAGAAAGGACATTCACACCCACACCAGTAAGAATATTTTTAAATCAGAGAGAAGGACACTTCTTTAAGATAGGAAATTCAGGGATGGGCATTGGACCCAGAGATTCACACTAGTCGGCACACCCCACATCTCATCTGTGTACCTGGCTCCAGCTTCCTGTTAATGTGCACCCTGGGAGGCCGCAGTGACAGCTCAAGTAGCTGGGCCCCTGCCACCCATAGGACACAGAATGAGTTCCTGGCTTCTGGCCCATTCCCAGCTCTTGTGGGCATTTGAGCAGTGAAGATCTATTTTGTCTGCTTCTAAAGTAAATACATGAAAATAGTTTTAAAAAGAGAAATTCAGGGGCCAGTTCTGTGGTGTAGCAGGGAAAGCCGCCACCTGCAAGGGCCGTCATCCCATATGGGCGCCAGTTTGAGTCCCGGCTGCTCTACTTCTGAACCAGCTCCCTGCTGATGGCCTGGGAAAGCAGTAGAAGATGGACCAAGTGCTTGGGCCCCTGCACCCATGTGGGAGAACTGGAATAAGTTCCTGGTTTCGGATCGGCCCAGCTCAGGCTTTTATGGCCATTTGGGGAGTGAATCAGTGGATGGAAAACTCTCTCAGGGCCGGCACTGTGGCTCACTTGGTTAATCCTCCGCCTGCGGCACCAGCATCCCATATGGGCACCGGGTTCTAGTACCGGTTTCTCCTCTTCCAGGCCAGCTCTCTGCTGTGGCCCGGGAGTGCAGTGGAGGATGGCCCAAGTGCTTGGGCCCTGCACCCCATGGGAGACCAGGAGAAGCACTTGGCTCCTGCCATCGGATCAGCGCAGCGCGCTGGCTGTGGTGGCCATTTGGGGGGTGAACCAATGGAGGGAAGACCTTTCTCTCTGTCTCTCTCTCTCACTGTCTAAAACTGTCAAAAAAAAAAAAGAAAGAAAGAAAGAAAGAAAACTCTCTGCCTCTGCCTCTCTGTAACTCTTTCAAATAAATAAATAATAATTTTTAGAAAGAGAGATAAATCCATTTAGCTGTATGTAACATGTTTTTGCACTCTGTTAACTTTTCTTTCCTAAGGGAGGGAATCTGAGCCTCGAAACCAGTTTGGGGAAAGCTGGGCTGCCTTAGGCCCATTATAGCAGAACTGTGATGCCCTCTTGTGGCAGCCTGCAGAATTATCGCCGTTTGACTTCATTTCCTGGTGGGATGATTGCCCCACAAATTCATGCACACTGGGCATCCTCCGAGAGATCACCCCCGCCCAAGTGGAGCTTACAGCCAGGTCGAAAGACAGACAGAAAACACCATAAATAAGGGAATGCTGTGGGGGAAGCAGCAGAGTAAGGAACAGGGGCTTGGGTAGAGAGAGAGGGAGAATGTGTCTCAATTGAAAAAAAAAAACAAAACAGTAGCTCTCATTGGAAAGGTGCCTTCGTGTGGTGTTGTAGGGAGGTGATGGAGCTATTGGTGAAATGGGTGTGCGGGTGAGGTGCTGGGCGGAGGGTGGGGTCAGGATCCAAGCCCTAAAGCAGGAGTTGTCCATCAGCTTGAAGGGGGGAGGGTGTGTGTCCAGTGTCTGGAGCAGAGTGGAGGGCAGTTCGGGGAGGGGGTGGGAGGGCGGGTCACCTAGGGCCGCGCAGGCTGCAGAGGCCGCGGCTCTACCCGAGCGCAAGGGCAGGCCCCTGGGGTTCTGCACGCAGTGACAGGGTCTGTAGTCTCAACAGAGGACTCTGGCCGCGGTGTTGACAAGAGAACAGGGAGAAAAGCAGAGTGACGTCGAGAGGTGATGGCGCCTTAGCTCGGGCTGCTGGCAACGGCGGGCGTGACGAGTGGCCGGATTCCGGAGAGACCTGGGAGGCCGAGTCAACGGACAGAACAGACGCCGATGTGACAGGGTGACCGCAAGGGACGCGCCCCTGCTTCGTTCTCAGTGTGTGTGTGGGGGGGGAGGCGGCCCAGGGTAAGTTGGGTTTTAGAGACAGCAAAGTGGAAACAGAAACGGTGGGGGCACTGGCCCATAACAGGTACCCAAGATGCTGCGACCTGGCCAGGGTGTGGGAGCAGGTCACTCCAGCTGGACAGAGGAGAAATCAGCCGAAGAGAACACGAGGCAACCGGAGAGGGCGCGCAACAGCAGGCGGGAACAGGCATCAGGGAGCTGAGCAGAGACTCCCTGTTCCTTTCCCTTCAGGCCCGCAACACCCCCCCCCCCACACACACACTCGAGGACACACGGACATCTGGGCTCTTTATTGAGCTCTCTGCAGGCAGCACTCCCTCGCGCCGCGCGCCCACCTCCTCGCCTCCCGCTGCTGCCAAGCGGGGTCTCCCTGAGCCGGGGTCCTCCCGCCGGGGCCTTCCTGCTCCGCCTCGAGGACTCTGTTACTCCTGCGATTCGTCATCCTGCCGTTCGAAGTCTGCGACGCAGCCCAGGTGGTCCGGATCGTCGGGGCCAAGGATCAAGTTCAAGTTGCTTCCGGAGACGCCGCAGAGGCGCAGGGCTGCAGGCGGGCCCGGGGCGTGAGTCTCGCGCGCCGGCTGCGCCTGCGCTCCAGGTGCCCGCGCGCCCGCTCACCTTTGGGAATGTTGACCTTGTTGGACGCCAAGATGTCCGCCTGGATGCTGTCCATCTTCAGGTACAAGTTCTCGGCGTTGCTCTGAGGACGGGGGCAAGAAAGGCCGGCTGCGGCGCCCTGTGGCAGTCTGGACTTGGGAGTTGGGCGTGGGCCACAGGAGAGGTGCAGGGAAGGACCCGCGTGGGCGCGAGCTGGGCAAGGCCGGCGGGCGGGGGCACTCACTGCGAAGAGCTGGTAGAGCTCCTCGCCCATGGCCTGGTGCACGTGCTCCTCCACCAACGGGAACGTCTGCACGAAGAACTGCGGGTGGTAGTGGTGGTGGTGGTGGTGGGAGAGGTTCGTGGTGCGGCCGTGACCGCCCCGCCCCGCGCCGAACCCCTGCCCCCACCTAGAACGCATCTGCCAGGCACGCACCTGCAGTGCGAGGCTGGCCAGCCGCTGGCTGTTGCTGTGGTCCATGTTGCCCATGGCGGTCATCAGCCTGTGCACCACGTGCAGGTGCAGCATCTCCTCGGCGACGGCCAAGTCGCGGCGCGCCAGGACCCTGGGCCAGGGATCCCGGCTGGGGCGACGCCTTGGGATTCCCCCACCCACCAGGGCCAGGGCTCCTTCCCCCCGCCCCCGGCGCCCCTGCCAGCCTACCCGATGGCCTTGGCCGCTGCAGCCTGCTGCAAAAACACGGGCAGGTGGCCGGTGAGTTGCAGAACCGAGGCATCTGCGGGAGAGCACGCCTTGAGACCGGGGGTGGGGTGGGGTGTGCGTGTGGGGGGCTCCCCGCCCAGGCAGCCGCGTCGGGGGCGGGTGTTACCGGTGAGGATCTTGCGCTGCAGTTTGGAGGTCTCCTTGGCGGGCGGTGTCAGCAGAGCCACGAGGCCCTGGAGCAGCGGCCAGCGCACGTCGTAACCCAGCAGGTCCTTGATTAGCTCGATGGCTGCGGAGAGGCAGAGACGCTGCAGAGCCCTGGACTCCACTTCCCCGGAGGACGCCAAGCGTCTGGTCGCTTCTCTTTGCCCTGTGCCGTCATTTACCCTTCCTAGCGCCTGGTACTGCCGGGCACCTCAGCCTTGCGCGCCTTGGGAGCAAGGGGGAGGAGAAGGGCTGGACCTGACCCCGACCATCAAGGAGGCCTGGAGGATGTGGGAGTGGAGGCTGAGAGGCCCCCACAGAGGTGTGGCTTGGAGAAGTGGTCCAGGTTTCACACAGGACGGAAGAGGGCTCAGGGGTCAGGTGTGGCATCTCTCTCCCCATTGGCTCCTAGGCAAGACAGGGTGTAGGCAAGGTTCTTGTTCCCCTAGTTAGCTCATTTGCACCACAGACTGCAATGTAGACTCATGAGAACCATGAGCTGTATTATCTGTTTGAATAATGAAAATTAGCCTCTTCCTTCCTTGTGAGGTTTTACCCAGTAGGAACAGTGGAAGAAACGTGTTTGCTGGTGGGTGAAAAGGGAGGCGACTGTGGGGGCAGAATGACTATGTGGGAGCACAGGAGCGAGATCGGGAGCCTGGCTTGTCTTCACACAGAGAGTTCTGGGCACAGAAACAGTTGTAAGTTGGTAACAACTTTTTAAAACATTCTGGTTTGGGAAGCAGAGAGAGAGAAAGAGAGAGAGAGAGAGAGAGAGAGAGAGAGAGAGAGAGCACTCCCATCTGCTGGTTCACTCCCAAATGCCTGCCATGGCCAGGGCCAGGGCCTAGCCAGGAGCCACAACACAATCAGTGGCAGGAAGCAATGACTTCCGCCATTACTGTGCCTCCACGGGTCTGTGCTGGCTGGAAGCTGGGGTGAGGAGCTGGAGCCAGGACTCAGACCCAGCTGCTCCAATGTACCAGGTCAAATGCCTGCCCAGTAACCCATCTTTTTGAGGCTTTGCTCAGGCAGGGCCAAGTAGCTGGCTTATGGAGGCAGATGCTTGACTTAGCGAGGCATAACAAGCAGATCCACTGCTAAACAGCAAGAGCCAAGGTCGCCATGCCCCTTTTAAGAGAGGCAGGCAACTGGCCTAGCGGTTAAGGCGCTGCTTGTGCTGCCTGCATCCCGCATGGAAGGGGCTGGGTTTCAGAGATTTTTATCAGTTGAGATGAGATTCCTAGATGACACATTACCCTTGCATGTACTGCTGGATTCAACTTGCTGATATTTCATACAGACGTTTTACTATGTTCATGAATAAGATTCATTTATAATTTCTTTTACTTTCTGTCATTGATGGATTTTTTAAAAATGATTTATTTTGAAAGTCAGTTACAGAGAGAGAGAGAGAGAGAGCGAGAGCGAGAGAGCTTCCATCTTCTGTTTCACTCCCTGGATGGCCACAACTGCCAGCCCTGGGCCAGGCCAAAACCAGGAGCCAGCAGCTCCATCTGGGTCTCCCACATGGTTAGCAGGGGCCCAAATACTGGGGCCATCTTCTGCTGCTTTTCCAGGTGTGTTAGCAGGGAGCTATCAGAAGTGGAGCAATTGGGACTTGAACCAGCACCCATATGGGATGGCAATGTTGTAGGAGGTGGCTTTACCTGCTGTGCCAAAACGTCAGCCCCTTCATTGATGGATTTTGATAGTAAGATGATGTTATTAGGGGACGATGCTGTGGCAGAGCAGGTAAAGCCGCTACCTGCAGTACCTGTATCCCATGTGGGCGCTGGTTCAAGTCCCGGCTGCTCCTCTTCCGATTCAGCTCTCTGCTATGGTCTGGAAAGCAGCGGAAGATGCCTCAAGAACTTGGGCCCCTGCACCTGGAAGAAGTTTCTGGCTCCTGGCTACAGATCAGCTCAACACTGGCTGTTGCAGCCATTTGGGGAGTGAACCAGCAGATGGAAAATCTCTGTCTCACTCTCTGCTTCTACCTCTCTGTAACTCTACCTCTCAAATAAATAAATAAAATCTTAAAAAATATGATGTTAGTCTTATGAGTTAGGGATATATGCCCTCTTTTTCTAATCTCTGGAAGAGTTTGCTTAAGAATAAACTTTTTTTCTTGAATGTTTGATACAATTCTCCAGTGAAGTTATCTGATCTTATGGAAAAATATCTTAAATTATTGATTCATTTTCTTTAATGATTAGAGGCCATATAAGTTTTCTATTTCTCCTTGAGTCCACTTGGATAAATTGTATTTTTCTAGCAGTTATCCAATTTTTAGAAGGATTTATTTATTATTTTATTTGAAAAGCAGAGTTGCGATGTTGAAGTTGATTTCTTCTGAGAGGATTCATTCTGAGAGGCGGAGCGTGGTGGGGGCAAGAGGCATGGAGTCACCACACAGACCCCAGACCCCGGGAGTCAGGTGAAAGCAGGCCTGAGGCAAGCAGCCTGCAGACTCATTTATTTCAGTTGCTACAGCAGCTTATATAGCCAAGGCAGCCAATCCGGTCAAGGCGGGGGGTCTATGCCCTAACCAATCACAGCCTGTTGCCAGGCAGTTTCCAAAGCCATTCAATCACAGCCTGTTGTCAGTCAGGCTCTGTTGTCATGTGGTTTCTGAAGTCATCCAATCACGGCCTGTTGCCAGGCAGTTTCTGTTGTCAGCGGCCATCTTGGCATGACCTTGACCTTCTCATCTTCTCATGACCTTCTCACCTTCTCATTCCACCACATTGCAGAGAGGCAGAAGCAGAGAGGGAGAGAGAAGGGAGGGCTTGGCTTCCAAATGGCCACAATGGCTGGAGCTGGGCTGATTTGAAGCAGGAGCTTCCTCCAGGTCTCCCACGTGGGTGCAGGGGCCTAAGGACTTGGGCCATCTTCCACTGCTTTCCCAGGCCATAGCAGAGAGCTGGATTGGAAGTGGAGCGGCCAGGGCTTGAACGTGGCGGCTTTACCTGCTCCGCCACAGCGCCTGCTCCTATCTAAATTTTCAAACACTGAAGAAAGTTGCTCATTATTTTGTCCTTTTATCATCTGAATGAAGGCGGCATCTGTGGTGATGTCCCCTTTTATCTGCTTCATATTGACTGTATGGCTTTTCTCTTATGTCAGCTTCCTTCCCACCTGGTCCCATAGCGGTGACACAGGTGCCTGCTCATGCAGTGACTTGTATTATGGAGAGGAATCCTGGTTCCTTGCAGAGAGCCTGCATGTTACAGCATAAGCAGTGAGTGTGCCTGCCCTTTGCTAAGGTGGATACTGTCTTCATCTTCCAGAACTGTTCACTGAACACTTGTCCTTGAAGAGATGGCCTAGAACCAACAGCAGTGGGGTTTCACTTTTTTTTTTTAAATTTAATTGTGAGGTAGAGTTACAGACAGTGAGAGGGAGAGTCAGAGAGAAAGGTCTTCCATCTGCTGATTCATTCCCCAAATGGCCACAACAGCCAGAGCCATGCTGGCCAGAGCCAGGAGCCAGGTGTTTCCTCCTGGTCTCCCATCCGGGTGCAGGGGCCCAAGGATTTGGGCCATCTTCTACTGCTTCCCCAGGTCATAAGCAGGGAGCTGGACTGGAAGTGGAGCAGCCAGGGCTCAAAGCGGTGCCCATATGGGATGCTGGCACTGCAGGCTGGGGCTTTGACCAGCTGAGCCACATGCCAACCCAGAACTGGGTTCTATAAATGTCAATTAAATTTTGTTGGTTGATAGTGTTGTTGAGTTCTTCTGTATCTTTGCTGATTTTTCTGTTGTGCTGTTTTATAAGTTGTCAAAAGAGTGGTATTGAAGTCTCCAACAATAGTTATAGATTTTTAAAAATTCTATCATCTTTTGCTTCATATATTTTGTGGATCTCATGTTTGATGCATATACATTTAGGATTGCTGTGTCTTCTTGGTAGGTTTACTCTTTTTATAAAAAAAAAAAATATTTATTTTAAAGGCCAAGTCACAGAGGGAGAGAGGTTGAGAAGTCGTCCATTTGCTGGGTAACACCCCAGATGGCTGAAATGGCTGGAGCTGTGCTGATCTGAAGCCACGAACCAGAAGTTTCTTCTGGTTCTCCCATGCGGGTGCAGGGCCCCAAGGACCTGGGCCATCTTCCACTGCTTTCTCAGGCCACAGCAGAGAGCTGGATCAGAAGTGGAGCAGCTGGGACTCGAACCTGCACCCATATGGGATGCTGGGACTGCAGGCAGTGGCTTTACCTGCTATACCACAGCGATGACCCCAGATACCTTAGTTTTTAATAATCTGTATTTAATAATATATCTGAAGTCTTTGTGAGTCTATTTCCATTCTCCTAGTTCCAATTTATTATGACTTCTTCCTGACTTCTTTGTGTACTTGATTTTGTTATGCTTGGAGTTGGCCTTGTATTTGTTATTTATTTATTTACTTTTTAAGATTTATTTGAGGCCGGCGCTGTGGCTCAATAGGCTAATCCTCCACCTTGCGGTGCCGGCACACCGGGTTCTAGTCCAGTTGGGGCGCCGGATTCTGTCCTGGTTGCCCCTCTTCCAGGCCAGCACTCTGCTGTGGCCAGGGAGTGCAGTGGAGGACGGCCCAAGTACTTGGGCCCTGCACCCCATGGGAGATCAGGAGAAGCACCTGGCTCCTGCCTTCAGATCAGCGCGATGCGCTGGCCGCAGCGCACTGGCCACAGCGGCCATTGGAGGGTGAACCAACGGCAAAGGAAGACTTTCTCTCTGTCTCTCTCTCTCACTGTCCACTCTGCCTGTCAAAAATAAAAAAATAAAAAATAAAAAGATTTATTTGAAAGTCAGAGTTGCAGAGAGAGAGAGAGAGAGAGAGAGAGAGATCTTCCATCTGCTGGTTCACTCCCCAGATGTCCACAATAGCAAAGGGCTGAGCCAGGCTGAAACCAGGAGCCAGGAACTTCTGAGTCTCCCATGTGGGTGCAGGGGCCCAAGCAGTTGGGCAGTCCTCCTCTGCTTTCCCAGGCCCTTAGCAGGGAGCTGGATCAAACGTCGAGCTTAGAGGCCCCTGGGACTTAGAGGCCCCTGGCCTTGTATTTGAATACTTGTACCAAAAATATTGAGAGCTGAGGA